ACAGGGGTCTCCAACCTTGGCAACTTTAAGACTTGTGGACTTCACCTCCCAGAATTCCTCAGTCAGCAAAGCTGACTGAGGAATTCTGAGAGTTGAAGTCCACAAGTCTTAAAGTTGCCAAGGTTGGAGACCCCTGTACCTAGAACATAGAATATAGAATAATAGAGCTGGAAAGGGACCTCGGAGAGCTTTTATTCCAACCCCCTGCTCGAACAGGAGATCCAATAACATTTCAGAGAAATAGTTGTCCGGTCTCTTTTTGAAATCCTCCAGTGACAGTGTTGGGCTCTGGGAATTGACTCACATTTGGCACTCACTCGGAGGCCGACACATCGCTGGGGCTGCTGAATTGTTGAGACAGCTAGACAGCTGAGAGGCCCATGGACACTAATCAGTCACCGGGCTTATCAGTTGGTGGGGGTTTATGACCCTGATTCAGATAGATAGGGGGGGAGAATGGGAGGGAGGTAAGGATACAGAAGGGATAGATAGCACGGGGGAGAGAAAGGAATGAATGCAGCAGCCGGATGTCAGGTTGTTAGCTGGGAGGACCACCCACAACTTCTGAAGGCAAGGCACTCCACTGGTTGATTACTCTCCCCATTAGGAAGTTTCTTCTTAGTTCTACCGTGCTATCTATCCCTTCTGTATCCTTACCTACCTCCCATTCTACCCTCTATCTATCTGAATCAGGATCATAAACCCCCACCAACTGATAAGCTTCTCTTCTTGTTTCGTTTCCAACCTTTGTGTCTTGTCTTGTTTTGCCTTTTTGTTTTTTTTCTTGCCTTTAAATCTGCCTTTTGGTGCTTTGGAAAATAGTTTAAACCCCTCCTCTTTGTAGGACCCCCTCAAATATTGGAACAATGCTATCCTACATGCTAACATGCATGTAGGAAAACAGTGCTCTACTACATACAAGCAATGCACTCTGCCAAAAGACCAAAATAAATAAATAAAGACAATGGCTGAGTTATATAGGCAGACTGGCAACGTAATAAACTGTAATACCCTAATCCTAACCCTAACCTCTCTAAAGAATTGTTCTTGGCTCTATCTTCCTAAATTTGTTTTATTTTTATTAATTTGTTTTTTGTTCCTTGCAGGATTTAGGTCTAAGAAATTAGATGTACCCAACTCTCAAAATAGCCTCACTTGACATACAGCGCTGTATAACTCTGGCCCATTAAAATGAAAGCCATAGAACCAGGGCAGAAAACTCAAAGGCCACCTTATTCAACCTTTTGACAATCCAGGAATCAACTGCTCTGGCAGACAGCCATCCTGACTCTACCTAAAGGTTTTTCATGTAGGGAAGTCAATCTTTTGAGACAGTTTATTACTTTGCCAGTCTTGCCTATATAGCTCAGCCATTCTGTCAAATTTTTTTTTGTCTTTTAATGACCCTGTAATCCCTTGCACTGGGGTGGAGTCGGGGCAACTGAATGGAGCTGAGTGTTTACTGGCTGGATGCCCTTCCTGTCACCAATGCAGAGTTCACAGCTGATATTTACTCATTGTGCCTAGAGAGATAAAAACCTGCTGCTACCTAGGATTGAACTCACAGCCTTCTGATTGTGAGGTGACAGCTCCACCTCTAGGCCACTGCACCATTACCTCAGCCATTCTGTTCAATGATTAGTCAAAATCCCCCCCTTTGTCATTTGAATTCATTTGCTCAGATCCTGTTTTCTGAAACAATAGAAATCTGCCCCTTTAATTATGTGACCGACTTTCAAATATTTGAACATAGTTATCTCTTCCATCTTAATAGCTTTTTTTCCCAGGCTAAATATGCTTCAGCCTTCTCTCATTGTTATTGGGGTTTTGGGTTTTTCTAGTTTGTTTCCAGTCTGGGTACATTCCAGTTTGTTCACATTCTTTTAAAAATATGGTATCCAGTTTAATTAATGACATAAAGAAAACCACAAACATGCCTGCCTATTAAGCGTCCTATTAAACTACAGGAGAGCCAACAAGCTATGCATCTGTAATCCGAGATTGAAAGCTTCTTTTTTATACATTCTTAAGCACTTAACAAAACCAGGAAGCTTCTTTATATATCCAAAAACCTCTTGTGGTTTGGATGATCCTACCTTTTGGGGATTATGGAAGCTGAAGAATGGACTACTATTTTATAAGATCTTAAGCTTATAGTGCTCAAGAAATGCTCAAGAAAATTATTTTCCTAAATGAATATATTATGACCTCTTAGTGAAATATCCATTATATGCACAATGGAAAAATTTATAATATTGGGGAGGGGGCCATTGTACAGTGGTAGAATACAGACTTCTACAAAGAAGATCCCAGGTTCAATCTTCGGTCACACAATTTCTTTCTTTCTTTCTGCTTTAGTGTTAGATCACTGAAAAACCCAATGAAGGGATGTCTTCTAGGTGATTTAGTTGAAGGGTAAGACCCTAGGGAGGCTGTAGACTTCTGAAAAATTTATTGTACAAAATCAGGATACTTACATAATCTTTGACCACTTCATAATTAAATAAATGCAGAAACACCACTCTCCACACAGAACATTCTGAAATTCTCTTTTTAAAAACAAATTTAAGTAGGTCTTCTATACCAGGGGTCACCAACCTTTTGGACCTCAGGGACCACCAAACTCATAATTTTAAATCCCGCAGACCAGACACCCTGAGAAAATCCCAAAAAAAGTCTGCAGGAAAATTCCCCACCCCATTTTCCTACCAATTGATCATTCTTTATTTGGGATCGCAGGATACCATCTCCAACTCCTTTCTCAGGGGGAGAGAGAGAGACTTTTGGCTTCATGCAAGGAAAGCAGCAGAAGCAGCAGAAGTCTTTCTTTCTCTCCCCCGAACTCTGCCAGAAATGAGTCTTTGCCGCAAAGCCACTTGGAGCAGGATGCCTTGCTGGGTCCCAAAGACTCATTTCTTGCAGAGTTTGGGGGAGAGAATGAAAGACTTTTGCTGTTTTCCTTGTGGGCAGCCAAAAGCAGAAGAAAGAAGCAGAAAGAAGCAGCCCGGTGGCCAGGCGAGGCGTGTGAGGCGAATGGGGCAAGTCCCCCCCTGCCCTTTCCCCTTTCCCCTCACTACCTTGTGTTCGCAATGGAAGTGACGCAAGCCTTGTGTTCCTGCAGGCCATGTGGGTGGCGCAGCCTCGTGTTTCTACACAGCCTGGATTAACTGCTTTGGGGGTGACATTTCTCTGTGGACCACCAAAATTTTCTCGCAGACCACCAGAAGTTCCCAGACCACTGGTTGGCGATCACTGTTCTATACTCACCTCTGTGAAATTATGCCTATTTTGCATGGCCTTGACTCTTTTCAGAGCCACTATTCATCTCCAGCCAAAGTAATGTTTTTAAAACTAACACACAATTATGCATCTAATAAGGATACATGTGCCTCATTGAAATTCAGAATGCAAGGAGCTAATTGAACTCTCCAAACGCCCCCTATTGGCTAAAAGTGGACATCGATACCATCCAAGATTCATCCACTTCTAAACTCAATTTAAGCTATTAAGGAAACAAGCCACGGTTTATGGGAAAAGGTCAAAAGGCTAAAAATAAATGCAGTTTAAGAGTAATATGGGACAGTAATTATATCTAAATAGTACAGTAATAGAGAAGTTACATCTGAGTCTAAGAATGTGTGCCGCTTAAAGCCACCTCACTCACTTCCCCCCTCCCGCATCCCAAGACGCCCAGAGACATATAAAACTATGCTGGTCAGTTCTATAGGCAGAAATATGCCCTCTGGCTGCCAAAAAGGTATTCTTTATAAATCCTAAAAATCAAGGTTTGGGAAAAGAAACCCTTAAAAGTTTGAACGCATTTAGAACTGCAGTGCGACTTTCAGATTAAAATGTAAAAACAAGCCCATTTCTGCCAACTGGGATCTGGTTTCCTCCACACCCCCAGGTTCTTCTTACCTTTCTAAATTCTGAAGTGCTCTCTGGTGCAAGTCGTCTTGGGTGCTTTTCAGAGTAGCTGCAAAACAATAAACATTAACACACCAGCATAAGCATTATTCCAAACAGTACATCTGAATAGCTGGGAGCTCTTTATTATTAAAAAGTTATACAAACAGTCTGATATGGGTCTTGCAACAGCATTTCCTTAAGAATGTTATGTCTTATTTTAAGACTTTTTCCTTCAAGAATCTTGCTGAAAATATTTCTTGTCTTATTTCTAGTTATTTAGTTATTTATGATCTCTCTAATGGTACCAGATATCATTATATACTTTATTTTAAATTCTAAAGACCTTCCAGGGAGCATCTGAAGAAAAATAAAATGTCAGGATTGAGCTAGGGAATATCACCTTTCAATGTGACTCTTCTGCATTTAGGATCTTAAAAAGTCATCTCTACCATTTTTGATGATGGTTAATTTCAAAAATGTAGGTGGCTCCAAAATCAAGCCAACTTCATGCCCCAAGAGAGGACTGTAATCTAGATCTCCCCAATCATGGTAAAAGAATCGATCCATTAAATAGGAATAACAGCACTTCTTCTCAGTCTTATCCCATCATCTCAGCCAGGTCTTTTTCAAATGGCCTTTCTCAAAGATACTGCACACAAGCCAAACGCAGAGCCTTCTCTTCTACAACACCTTCTCTGTGAAATCACCTTCTGATGAATGTCACAATGGTAGCCATGTGATAATAAACAGAAAGCAAATCAAAAGCTTTTGTCTTTTTATTTTAACAAATTAGTAGATTGGGGAGGGGGCATCATATTCTTTCTTTCCTAGTGCCAGGGGCAGGTAGTTATTGGTATTGGTGGTTTAATGATTTTAAAGCTTAATTTTTAGTGATTTTATTGTAACAAACTGACTGCAGGATCTTCTGGGATCTTCTGCATTTTCCAGAGACAGATTTCAAAAAGATTAGGTTGACTCTAGCATTTCTGCATAATCATCTGTTCAAAGCTCTTGGAAGGCTGCCTGAAAATGAAAGCCAAGGGACTGCACCTGCTGTCTCCTTGATGTAGAAGACGTGTCAAGAGTCTGCTCTTGAGAAAGAAGGGACAAAACTTTGCCAAAGGGTCAAAGAGTACAAATGTCCCCTGGGGATGACATAAACTCTTTTGGGATAGACTGTGGCTCGTGGCCAGGGCATAAATGAGCAATGACAGAAGTTGGTTGAATGGCATCTTTGCTCATTCTTCTGCTCTCCTGAAGCTCCAGCTAAATCAGCTCAAGTTTCACATGATATCATCTCAACCTCTACCACATAGGAAGCAAAAAATAAATTAAGGAAGTTAGAACTAAAGCCGCAAGTGCAATTATGTCAGTGATATCAAGTAGGGCAAGAGGAAAATGCAGATGTCTTTCTGTAGACAGTTGGGCAATTTGGGAGATGAAGAAGCAATTAAGAAGGAAGAAAAGAATAAAGGTGTATTGCAAATGTTTATTGGCACCTTGTGTCAAATTGAATTTCAGTGGGTCATTTTTTTAGATACTAGAGATTATCCATTATTTTGTTAAGTGTCTTCTTTTCCTCTGGCTTTATCTGTAACTTAATTTACAGGAGTTAGGCAAAGGCTCTTCACTTACTTCTGTCTTCATGCTAAGATAAATTTCATCTATTATCTAAAAGATTTCATCCCTTGAGGTACTAAAGAACAGGAATTGTGTCAATAAACACAAATATCTCTATATTTGTCTATCAACCAGGCCCAGAATGAATGCAACATTAGTATTACAAAATTGTGATTAAATACAGGTAGTCCTCAACTTACGATCACAATTGAGTCCAAAATTTCTGTTGTTAAGTGAGACATTTGTTAAGTGCCCCAGTTGTCACAGTTGTTAAATGAATCACTGCAGTTGGTAAGTTAGTAACCCAGTTGTTAAGTGAATCTGGCTTTCTCATTGACTTTGCTTGTCAGAAGGTCACAAAAGGGGATCGATCACATGACCTTGGGGCACAGCAACAGTCATAAATATGTTATAAATAAGTTGCCAAGCACCTGAATTTTGATCACATGATCATGGGGATGTTGCAAATGTCGTATCTGTGAAAAATGGCCATAAGCAGAGGTGGGATTCTACCAGTTCGCACCTATTCTCTAGAACCGGTTGTTAACATTCTTAGCAGTTCGGAGAACCGGTTGTTAGAAGAAATTACTGGCCTAATCCTGTAAGGGAGGCAGGAAGGAAACATTCTGGAGTTGCTTACAGAAACTGCCTCTCCGTTAACCCTTATTACATTCTTGGCAGGACTAGACTTCCTGTCTCAGGAACTTCTATGGAGTTTTTTTCCCCTCCTTTGCTGGTACTTTGCTTGTGTGGAGTGACCATTCAAAGTTACAATGGCACTGAAAAAAGTAAGTTATGATCATTTTTCACACTTATGACTGTTGCAGCATCCCCACAGTCATGAGAGGCCAGGCAAGGAGATGCGTGCCTCAATGTGAGTGATATTGAGTTGGTTGTGCCCAGCCAATAACATGACCACCAAGCCATGCCCACCAACTAAGCCACGCCCACAGAACCGGTTGTTAAAAATTTTGAATCCTATTCCTGGCCGTAAGTCACATTTTTCAATGCTGTTGTAACTTTGAATGATCACTAAATGAATTGTTGTAAGTTGAGGACTACCTGTATAGGATCACAATGCTGTTTTTTCCCCCCTGTTCCTCTTTTCCTATCGCTGGTAGATAATAATGTGGCTATTGTTCATATTAATTACAGAAGATTCAGAGATATTTCTTAATTCTGTTTCAAAATACAGGTTTTCTCTTTTGATCGTGGCCCTATCCTCACTCACTGCTCAATTACGTAATGGCCCTTATAGACAAGCCCTTGGAAACGACCTTATGGCTGTTATTGAAATAAGAACTCCTGGGCAGAAGTAGGTCAAATGGTTCCTCACATCTTGTCATTCATTTAGTGTGCACATCACAAGATAAATCTGCATTCCATCAGTAAATTATCTTAGTTTTAGAGATGGTAATAATAAAATAACAATAACAATCAAACCAAATTACATGTTTTTCAACATGCAGATTTTTTTGTTGCAATTTCACTTCACACATGTTTATTTCGACACATGTATATATATAAAAGCTAAAGCCTATTTTACTTCTCTGGCAGTTGTAATCATAACACACATGTGATAAAAAACATATTTAAAACATGGTCTATAAAATAATGGAAAGTATTCTATCAATGCAAGCTGGGATTTTCAGCTTAAGTTTATGTTGCACATGGCTTCATAGCTCTAGTGTGTAAAATTTAAAATTGTGTACAATATTTGTGTTTTTTCCCACCAAAATAATCTTTTGGCTTTTGCAAGTAAGCACTACAGAATCTGACAGACTTTAATATTAAAGTCTGCATTTTGTTGACCAATATGGTATCCTCAGGATGTTCTACGAGATAAACTGGTAATTCAAGAATTGTAGGCCCAGTAAAGACACCAAATCAAGGAAATAATAACTCCAGAGACTCAAACCAATGATTTCAAAGAGTAAGCAAAGACGTTTTAATTAAATACTAAGAGCTTCCTGATGGTATCAATAATGGAACATGCTATTTAGGTAATAGTGGGACCTCCTTCACTGCTAATTTTGAAGCATCTGGGTAGCCAACATGGATTCAATAGAATCTGTTGCATTTGAAAAGTGATGGATTATATAATTGCTAATCTTTCCAATTCTGTATTCTTCAATGTAGGATTATTGTGGGATCATTTATACTGCATAAACAACAAGGTTCCCATAGTTATCTGTGCAACCGTGGTGAGTAATGTCTATGCAGATTCTCAATCATCCAGGTCATGGTTATCATAAAGGTACTTTCCAAAAGGCAACTGTATTTTGCTTTTTCTTGAAGACATTTCATTTCTCACCCAAGAAGCTTCTTCAGTTCTGAAGAAGTATCTTGGATGAGAAGTGAAACGTCTTCAAGGAAAAAACAAAGAAAGTCTAGTTGCCTTTTGGAAAGCACCTTTGGGACCGGCAAGTAATGATATACCCTTTGTTCATGTGATCAGAGATGAGTTTTGGTGCTTGATTACCAGTGAGATAAGATACTTTTAAAAATACAAATTATAATAAAAAATGGGTTACTTGGGTTGCAAGATCATTTTTTGGTAACATAAGCCAGAAGCAGAATTTTTACTTCAGTAAAGAGTTAAATGCAACTATTTTCCATGACTGGTTGAATTTTAAACAATTCTTCCATTTCATTTTTCCAGCTTTCATTATCACAGTATTTGACCTGTAAATTGAAATTGAAGTGCAGGAGACAGCAACAAGATAGCTGGAGGTATGATAAAAATTGGACTATGTTTAGCCTGGAAAAAAAGTGACTGAGGGGGAAGATAAAGGAAGTTTTCAAATAGTAGAAAAGCAGAAAAAAATGCTAGAAGAATATGAAAAGAAGGTAATGAATTTTATCTCTGCTGATCTGAGGCCAGGATTATATCAAATACATATTGGCACAAGAGGAGAAATTTCAGTTAAAGATTGATGAAACTTATTATCTAAGTGATAGAACCAATTTACCAGAAAGAGGGCAGGACTTATTTGTTAAATTTAATAGGCTAAATGAGTCACATTTTGGCAGTAAAGTATGGCATTTCAGTCCTTTAGATGATCCATCTAAAGTCTCGATTGAGCAGTTATAATACATTTAATGAAATAGATACATAAAATCAAATAACCTCAATGTCCACATCAGTTCTTTAATTTCATAAACAATGGAAGTTAGAACTAATCACTAATCAGTGATTGTTTACAACAACAGAAACAGAGTGAAAGTGTGTTGGAATATCCGGATGTTGGACAGAAGCTCACCCATGTTCAGGTGAAAGGAATTAGCTTCATCACTTATTTATAATCAGCAAGAGACATTTTGCTTTGTTTTTTATATCGGTTTAGTTAGATTATGTCACATCCACTTTTAGCTGCTTTAGAAACAGAAAGGCATAATGAAAGATTGGCATCAATAAAACAAATAGATTTTGTGAATAGATGTTGGCAACTTATTGCTGGACCAGACAACTATGCACCTACAAGGTAGTTCTTCCATTTAAATATTCTTAAAACTTTTAATATTTAAATTCTTAAACTGACTTCTTTAAACAATAGCTGTTCAGATCATATTTGACAAATCAAAAGATTACCATCAGTTGCTTGCAGGCTGTATGTCAGGCCTAATGCTAAAAAACCCTTTGCTAAGAATTCTCCAGCGTCTTCTCCCATGCCAACAACCATCTTGGCGAAACGTTCTCCTTCCTCCAGCTAAATTGATTAGAAAAAGGGAGAAACATTACAAGAAATATCCTTTGCGACATCTTTATAGAATATTTACTTCTTTAGAATGAATTCAAGATTAACAATCATCAGAACTCACGGCTATGAGATGGTGCTATGCTTCCAGTGAATTTGGAAGACCAGACTTCTAAATCTCAGTGCATGACAAAAAGCTAATTTTCCCAACATGGTGCCTAGCTGCAACACATTTGGAACCAGGAAAAGTGTACGTGTCAACTATAAAACGTTGTACGTAGTATGATTATTAGTGAAAGGTTTAGCACTAATGCTGGCTCTGGACTTTGGGAATAAGAATATGTCAAGTATGTCACTTCTACCACTGTTAAAACTATTGGTATTGCTTGTGTTTCATGCATATGGCAGCCTGTCGCTTTGGCAGATGGAGAATCAATGGGCAAAAGACAGGTGCTGTTGCTTCCCAATTCTTAGTTTTCTTATCCTGTCCACTTTTGGACCAAAAGATGTGGGGTGGAGGGTAAGAGAAAAGCAATGGTGAAGAGACAGAAACTTTTGACTATAGCTTCATTACTGGGGCACAGATCTTGGCCCATGCAAGACATGCAAATCATAGAAACATAGACATTTACGGAACTGGAGACAGATAAAACCAATGAGGAGGTAGAGAGACCCAGAAATGAATTAATAGAGACAAGAAGAAGGGGGGGGGAATGGGGCAGATTGTTATTTAGGATTTACTGAACTTAGTCCATGAGCCACATAGTATGACATTCAACCTCCTCATAACTTCCAGAGAGGCAACTATAAAAACCAAGCAGTACAGCAGGCTGATGGTTTTAGGCTGATGGGTCACATTAAACCAGTCAGCAGGATGATGAGGAAGAAGAGGTAGAGGAGATTTATAGGTTGCCCAACTCCAGAATTAATCTGGGTGGCAGTTGAAATAGAGAAAACAATAAAAATAAAATCTTACACATCCAGACAATTGCACCATCTACTCAAATTCTCACAAGTGAAAGGGGCTACCACAAGGCCTGGGAGAACAGCCAAGTTTTTAAAGATTTCTGGAACACTGTCTGGCCAAATGAATGTTTGGGATGGGGTAACATTTCAATGGGCAGGTGCTGCAAAAAAGAAGTTAGGTGGTCCCTCAAACAACCGAGCCTTAATGATGATTAAATTGATGATTAACTTACAAGCAGAAAGGGCAGAGTCTTAAAAGAGCACATTTATGGATCTTCCAAAGTTACTATTGATCTGGGCAATATGCTAACCTTGTTTCAAACCCTATAGAAAGCATTATATAGAAACCACTGGTTAAATCTAATATCTTACCAGTAGCCTACTGGAAGGAAAGGGGAAGAGACAGCGAAAAAGGGAAAGGTGGTGTCTGAAACAAAAGAAGTGACAGAGAAACGGGAAGGTGGATGGTAGGGACAGAGAAAAGTGTTGTTCACTCAAAAGTTTCATCTTTCTCATCACCAGTTTGCTGGCCCCAAAGCAATAGCACTTAGACTTATATACTGCTTTACAGTGTTTATAGCCCTCTGTAAGCAGTTTACAGAGTCAGCATATTGCCCCCAACAATTTTGGGTCCTCGTTTTACCCACTTCAGAAGGATGGAAGGCTGAGTCAACTTTGAGCCTGGTGAGATATGAACTGCCAAATTGCAGGCAGCTAGCAGCCAGCAGAAGTGGCCTGCAGTACTGCACTCTAACCACTGTGCCACTGTAGCTCATGCCCCTAATATACTGTAGTTTCAATATGAGATGAAATTATGCAGATAGGAGGTACAATTTACCTCCTATAGATCAGATATCAGGTCTTTGGTATCAATTATTAACTGTGTCAGGTGTGATAGCCTTATGAAAATATGTACCACCTTTAGATGACAATGACAAGATATGGAAAACATTATCTTGCTGTCATCCAGTCTTTTGCAGCTCAGATTCAGTACGATAAATTTTAGCTGTAGGAGCCCAAATAGGTAGTGCAACCTGTTAGGTTCTACTTTTTAGAGATTTTGATTGGTGACTCAGAGTTTTTTAAAATGGGTTAACCTGAAACTAAATCAGGTCAGACACAAATATTTTAAAAGCTATAGTATATTAGGGACATAAATCTCTCTACAGACATGACGTCAATTGAAAGAAGCCATTTTTTCTCTCTCAGTTAGTGTCCTGCCAATTGCAGTATGAGGAATAATTAGAATAATGGAGGATTACTAAGCATCTCTTTTTCAAAGAAACAGCTATAAGTACTTTTAGATTTTCTAAGTAATAATAGGGTATGTGCCCAAATAATAATGCTTGCTAATGAAAACTATCATAGGCTCCTAACCAAATGTTTCCTTGACATTCTCTATGAGACAGAAGGGGAGAGCTAATGATGTTTGTAAGGGAAATTATTAGCGATAGGAAGATACCGTGGTACTTGTGACCAAACATTTGTGAATCAGAATTGGTTATTGCTTGTTTTCCCAGAAGAATTGGAGGCAGAGCAGAATTGCTTCCATCACCATCAACAGTGGCATTAATAGAAGAGGATGACCAACAGACAGCATGATTTTTCAGAACACTAAACTAAAACATTCTAGGACAAGAACAAAGGACCTAAAAAGATCAGCTACCTCCAAAGATTCCTCAGCTATCAGAAATAACAAGGAATAATATGGCTTCCAACTCTCTCCTGCATTGAAGAATATGCACAGAAACACACTCAGCAAGATATGCCAACAAACTATGTTCAGCCATTGTAAAATATAATAATCTGTGTTTCCCACTGCCATCATCTTTGGTGAAAACCTCATTTTGTTAGTAGCCTACTGCTTGAGGCAGAGGGAGGCTTTTTCCAGCTAACCATATTATTTTATTGCAGGTTTTTGAATGTATGATTGAACTAAGCCTACAGGCACACTGATAAGGAATAGGAACAGCAGGTGTTGTCCCCTGGCAAGAGGCTGCCCAGCTGGTGTTCAGCTGGCACATCTTGGCATGTTGTTTCTTTCTGTTGTGTTTTCCCCACCCACACCTTTCCTTTAGGAGAACATACATTATACCCCTTATATCTAAAAAGTAACAAGCAAACAGTATGCATTTTCACCCAAGAGTAATTTAATACTGCAAGGAAAAAGTAGGTGGCAGTTAGGAGCATTAGCATGATATCTTATTTTTTAAGGACATAAATATTTCTTAAAATTAGATAAATCAGGTGGGAGATTTTAAAAAGGAGGTAAAAAGTGAAAATAGTTCTGTTAACTGCACAATTCTAGAGGTTTAGCAATAGAAAACCAAAGACATTTTAATCTCATCCACTCCCACAGTCTCTGCCATGCCAAGAGATTCATGAAGAACAGTTTATATATTATGTAGCAGCAAATCCCAAATCCATCACAGGTTTTTTTTTAAAGCATCTGCTTGCCTATTCTTGATATTTTTGGATGTACACTTTAAAAAAACTCTGCAGTAGATACCTAAAAATGTAATGCTTTATATAATTTTAATTTTAATTCCAAAAAATATTGGAAGTTTGTCCACGGAAGTCCCACCATAAAAACAAGCTTTATAATTTCTAATATAACATGAATATAAATATAAAGTTCTAAATATTTTAAAACTTTATGATTGAGAATTAGTTTTGTTTTTTAATATTCATGCTTAATTCAAATTAGGTCCTTCTGTGAACTCCTGCACATTACAATGCTCCTATGGGCACCACTAGGACTGCAGTGCGGTTTTCATTGCAGAGCGATATCAAGTAACGTTTTCCATGCTGTCATGGATTAATGCAGGTTGCAAGATTTGTAAAACAGATATTGGCTTTCACATATGTATCACTTGCTTGATTACGAGACTCTGATATAAAAATGGTCCCCTTACCCAAATGAGCATTGGAATGTATTTCCAAGTATGAATAAGATCTGCCCTGCATTATTTTTAACATCCTTTCAAACTTCTAAAGCTCTTGTAGTCACAGCATATCTGGATATTTAAAATCCAGAAAGTTTTATTGCAAAAAGAAGAATAGAATAGAATAGAATAGAATAGAATAGAATAGAATAGAATAGAATAGAATAGAAGCTGGGAGGGACCTTGGAGATCTCCAAGTCCAGGCCCCCTGCTCAAGCATTTTACCATTTCAGATAAGTGACTATTTAGTCTCTCCTTTAAAAAGCTCCAGGGATGGAGTGCCCCGATTTCTGAAGGCAAGCTGGTTAATTGTCTTCACTGCCAGGAAGTTTCTCCTTAATTCCAGATTGCTCTTTGATTAGTTTCCAACCATTGTTTCTTTGTCCTGCCCTCTGGTGCTCTGTAGAATAATTTGACCCTCTCTTCTTTGTGGCAGCCCCTGAAATACCGGAATACTGATATCATGTCACCCCTAATAATTCTTCTTTTCTTTAGACTAGCCGAACCCTAAACCTGCAGCCATTCTTCATATGGTTTAGTCTCCAGGCCTTTGATCATCTTAGTTGCTCTTTTCTGGACTTTTTTTCAAAGTCTCAACATCTTTTTTGTAGTATGGTGACCAAAATTGGTTGCAGTATTCCAGGTGTGGTCTTACTAGGGTTTTATAAAGTAGCACTAATATTTCATGTGATCTTGATTCTATGCCTGTTTATACAATCCAGGATTGTATCAGCTTTTTTGGCTGCTACTGCACACTGCTGGCTCATATTCAAGTGATCATCCACTAGGACTTCAAGGTGCCTCTCACAGTTACTGTCTTTGAGCCAAGTTTTGCCTAATCTGTACTTATACCTTTGATTTTTCCTGCCTAAACATAAAACTTTTCTTTTCGCCACATTAAAATTCATTTTGTTGGATAGGGCCTATTGTTCAAGTTTGTCAAGATCTTTTTGGATCCTGAGCTTGGAATAAAGAGAAGCCAAATATCTGTGGACGTACATACATTGCAGAGACAACCAAGAAGAGATTCCATGATGTAGCTTATTGAGTGCCTTAGAAAGGCAACTCAAACCTGTTTTCTTTGAGCATAATTTTAATAAAAATGGTCAATAATTGGTTAGCCTTTTCACTGGATATGTCCAAGGAGATTTCAACCATCCAGCTCATGGTTGTCCCAAAGGTGCTTTTTTCAAAAGGCAATTGGACCTTGTTGGTTTTTTTCCTTGAAACATTTCACTTCTCATTCAAGAAACTTCTTCAGCTCAACACTGAAGAAACTTCTTATATGAAAAGTGAAACATTTTCAAACAAAAATCCAAGAAAGTCCAGATGCCTTTTGGAAAAATCACCTTTGGGATTTTCACTGGATACTTTCGGAATTTGCTTTTCTGTTCCTGTCATTTGTTGTGGGTTGATTTAATATTAAATCTGTGGTAAGCCATGGTCAGGGCCTAATTTCAGGTGGAAAGCACAATATAAATAATTTTCCAGAAAAGAAATAAATGCCTCGAGGATTCCATTAGACTAATGATGACAAAAAAACACTTATCCAAACAAGACATGTAATTAGAGTATAGATCCCATTTAATATCTACAAGTAGCATAGATATAACTAAACCTGGACATCACTAATAGTATAAGTTCTACAAGTTTAGAGCTAAATCCAATAGAGCCAGTCATCAAATACTCACAGAATCATAAACTAAACATTAAAAGCCCCTCTATAAATTTATCCTATTGTGCACAGATGTTTACTTAGTGACAGCTGCATAAATCAAGGTACCAGTGCAATTGAATAAATAATTCATTCACCACATTATTAAATGTAGATTTTTAAAGAACCTGAGAGCTTTATGTTTAGTGACATTTCTCAAAAAAAATATGCACAGATCAAACGGATGGGAAATGACCAAACCAGTGATGGGATTCAAATTTTTTTTTTTTACTACCAGTTCTGTGGGCGTGTCTTGCTGGGCAGGTCGGGGGAAAGATACTATAAAATCTCCAGTCAGAGGTGGTATTTGCCGGTTCTCCAAACTACTCAAAATTTCCCTTACAGGTTCTCCAGAACTGGTCAGAACCTGCTGAATACCACCTCTGGACCAAACCATATCTCAAGAACTTTCTGTGATGTTCTGATTGCTTGAAAGGGCTAACTTTGTGAAGAAAGGAGAAAAGAACGGAAGCATTACATGGAATAGAATATGTTGGACTGGAAGTAATCTCCAATTCAAAAATTAGAGCTACTATCTCACTGTTCTAAAAGTTTAAAGTTGGAGACTAGATATGTTTGCATTAAGAATGAATTCTCCCACCTTGCCAGACATACAATTCAAATCCAGCATTATAAACTATACTAAATAGCTATTATTCTTGGAATAAACCATTTCTCTGTGCTGATCAGTCAACAGAATGTGAGGTCTTATTAAGTGCCCTCAAGGTTTGCCACCTGCATAACTTATACTGAACTATTTTATTACAATCTGTTAATTATATACTCAATGAATTAAAAGGAGGAATTAATCAACCTCAAGTATTTAGTAATCATCTATTTTCCTTCTCAGCAGGTTATTCTTCCAATTTCATTTAATATTTCCAACAATATTTTATTGTTCCTCCTGTTGGAGCAGATGGGTGAGGTTGCAGCCTTTTGGTAACAGCAAGCTATATAGGCCTGGTATTTGATCTGCAAGGCAACAATTTCTCCCACTTGGCCTCTTATTATGACTAATGCTACATATTAATGAGATTGAACGCAGTAATAATAACATCACCAGTAACATGAACTTTTCTTCACAACAAGAAGTTCCATCAAAAAATGAGCCATCTGTAATTAATATTGATAGAATACCTTATTTCTGTTTTCCATTTTCAATACTCTTAAGTTAACTAAATATTAGAAGGTCAATAATTTAAACTATATTATATAAATATCACTTACTGAAATTTTTAAAAAGAGCCATCTGCTGGTAGGAATAAAACCAGTTTTTCTCCAGACAGCTGTCATATCTGTACTGTATTTATTTGAGGAAAAAAAAATCCCATTGTATTCTATGCAATTTCTTGCTAAGTCAACATGCATGCACCACATAATATTAGTGTAGTAATTAAGAGATAATTCATTATTGCATTGGGGAAATCAATTTGAAGAAGCAATTCAGACTCTGGTTTAAGGCAAGTCTCTCTCTCTTTTTTTTCTTACCTCTCCCCCTACAAAATAACAAGACAAGCTCATGTCAGAGACTTCTTTCAATAAGTCAGGTCAGTTCCATATAACTGTGCAGCTCTTCTTGCTTTACCCCCTCATCTTCCTTCTGTCTCTTCCTCTCTTTAAACAACATTTGAGTGTGGCTGTTAATGTGGCACTTAATGCATTATGTAAGAAGCACTGCGCCAGCTTGCTTACCCAGTGCAGAGGTCCAATGCAGACCTTGGCGGCCAGGAGAGGGACGGTGGGATCCGCAGGACGTAGCTTTACACATTCTCTAAGCACCGAGACAGCATGAGCAGACTGGACAAGGGAGGAAGGAGAAACAAGAGAGGAGAAGGATAAGATGGTTGGACAATGCTCAATAAGATGCACAAGAGGTTATTTATGCCAGATGCTTCTTCTTCCAGAGGGCGCGTTTCTTGTTACCTGAATATTGAGACTTAGATTGGCTCTCAAAGTACATCTTTTGTTTTTGAAGTCTTCCTGCCTCCTGACTCCCACAGATCAGTGGGTGTTCAGATCAGGTATGGTTTTTGAAAAGCATGTTCTGCATCTATTCAGTGTTAACTCTGTATTATATTATTAGGTCTGTTTTACAGCAGGCCCCTAACAAAGGAAGAGCTTCAGTTGTATGGAAAAGCAGTGGCAATAGGCAGGATTTCTGCAATATCAGTAATATGTACAACAGTATATGTGCAAATGTAAATACAGGTAGTCCTCGACTTACAATAGTTCACTTAGTGACCGTTCAAAGTTACAATGAAGATACACTGGAAATAGTGACTTATGAAACATTTTCACATTTATGACACTGCAGCATCCCCATGGTCATGTGATTTAGATTTGGATGCTTGACAACTGTCTCACATTTATGACGGTTGCAGTGTCCTGGGATCATGTGATCACCTTTTGCAACTTTCTGACAAGCAAAGTAAATAATGAAACCGCTTAACAACCATTTTACTAATTTAACAACTGCAGTGGTTCACTTAACAAACGTGACAAGAAAAATCATTGAATGGGGCAAAATTCACTTCGCAAACTTTTCACTTAACAACAGGCTCAATTTCAGGCTCAATTGTGATCGTAAGTTGAGGACTTGCTATATTGAGAGTGAAACAACAGATAGGTATCCTAACAACTTACAACCTAGAGCTAAAAAATAAAGTGGTATTTGGGTCTTACACTAGTGTTTCTCAACCTTGGTAACTTTGATGAATGAATGAATTCTTTATTGGCTAAGTGTGATTAGACACACAAGGAATTTGTCTTGGTGCATATGCTCTCAGTGTAAGATGTGTGGATTTCAATTCCCAGAATTCCTCATCTAACATGCTGCCTGGGGAATTCTGGGAGTTAAAGTCCACACATTTTGAAGTTGCCAAGGTTGAGAAACACTGTCCTGGACCCTCCAGACACTGCTAAACACTCAAGAAAGAGAAATGTGACCTATAGCGGTGCCCACAGCATATGGTTAATAAGTCAAGATGGTGGCTGTGATGATGGAATCAAAGCTCCACCTGGGGTTTCTTTTTATGTGAATTGTGATGAGAAGATAAGAAACAGTTCAGGTTTAATTGCACCATCGCAGCACTGCCATATATGCTTGTTTGATCATATCCTGAGGATACCCCAGTGGTCTACTTACACATTCTCCAAGTAATGTACAATATCCACACAATGTACAATATTAACACACCCACACAGTTCGCTTTTCAAGCTAGGTACAATATTCAGTGTCAAAGCCTTTGCAGCATGACTGCTATTATGAGACAACCCAGGAGCAAAACACAGCACACAGAGACTTAGACATTTAGCAGTGAACAGTGGTTTATATACAACAGTTATATACAGACATATACGTAGCAGGCAAAACACTTTACAAGCAATTTTTCTTCTTCTTAACTTTTACACCAAGACTTCTGCAATGAATACCGGACACAAGGAGAGAGAACATGCCCTCTAATGGCTGCTTTATATAAAAACCTCTTAAAAGGGTAGAACCCATCCCTAGTCTTACAGGGAAATACCCATACTATGCTGGATGAAGTCATAAGTGAAAAGCAGCAAGTAAAGGGACCGGACAATCTTTAAAACTCTTGACAGTGAAGCTCAAGAAAGATGTCACTGTGAACTTTATGGCAAAAGATTACTTGGCACAAAGGACCACATACAAAATGGTGTCCTATCTTTCCCAGTTCAAAAAAAAAGCAGACTCTTGGAGATTTATACTGTATATCAGAGAATATCAAAAATTTTGCACTATGTACCAGTAAATGTCATAAACATTTATCAGTATGTCATAACAAACACTATTGATTCTAAACAAGCAAAATTACTGCTATTATAATGATGTTTATTTTTTGTTAACCACTCAATCACCAAAGCAATTGTAAGACTAAACAAGAAAATAAAGATTAAAAACAGAAATACAACAATGAATGAAATAGATATACGGGACCATGTCAAGGAACAAAATTAGCATTTAAAAAGCAATCTCCATGGAGTTTATAAATCACTTTTTCCCAGCTCCTGCCAGAGAAGCTAAAAGTCATTAGGGTAAGGGCTGTATGGATTAAAGGAGGGCTGCTATTCCAAAGAACAGGGGCACTTATACATATACATATACATATACATATACATATACATATATACATACATACATACATACATACACACACACACACACACACTCATATATATTGGATTCTACAAAATAGTTAGGTTCTGGTCCACAGTAATCCTGCTTGATCTTACTGACTGGCCATAAACCACTGGAGAAAGGCAGTCCCATAGTTAATCAGAACCCCAGCCATACACTGCTTTACAGATGAATACTAGTACCTTGAACTACACTTGGAATGAAATGGTAACCATTGTAACTCATGAAGTAGAAGTATTGCATGTGTAAACTAAGGTATGTCCAAAACTATTCATATTACTGTGTTTTGGATGACATACAGCTTCTAACTGGTCTTCAAGAACAGTACAGTATATTGCAATAATTTAAAAAATGGCTAAGCTATGAGAAAGGTCTCCGAATCCAAAGAAGAGCATAACTGGCAGACTGAATGTATTTGTGCAAATGTCATCCCGGCAACACTTCCAGTTGCTCTTCAAGCAATTACTGAAAATCCAGGAGAACCCTCACTGACAGCAGGATTCTTTCTGGTTAGTCTTGGTAGAGTTGAGCCCAAGTCTGTTCCTCCCATCCAGACCCAAAGAGCCTCCAGGCACAGGGACAGGGCCGTGACAATTTCACCTCTTCAACCTGGTCTTGATATACAGTTGTGTATCATCTGCATATTGATGATACTTGAATAAGTGCTGTCTACCAACCTTACATATCGTACATATTAAATAGAAACCCACAAAGCAAGGGCCCTTGGGCTTAAGGTCTCCTCCCCAACATCACCTAAAATCAATCCTGATGGAAGAGAACTAGCATCCCCTAACTCCCAGAGTTTGGTCAAAAGGATAGTATGACCAATGACATTAAAAGCTGCTAAATTATCAAGTACAACCAGAGGAATCACACCATATCTACCCTGGTCCTAGCAAAGGTTAAGTACAATTACTGCTGCTTTGACATTGTATTCAGGACTGAATCCTCATTGAAAAAGAGAGGTTGGAAACTGATCAAAACATATCTAGTGCTGCTGGGTAAAGCAATTCCTTCTTGAGGTATTGTGCTGCTTCTAACAAGGCAAGGTAAACCACCTCCACTTTCACATGAGGGAAGAGTTTACCACCATGCAAACCCAAGTGCTACCTCCAGATGATGACCCTAATTCTGAGGAGTTTCCCAAAACTCACAAACTTTTTACAAGTAATCAAGCAAGACTACTGTGGCCAACTCAGTAGGACCTATCCAGTTGAAGTCCAGCTCAGAGTAGCTCTTGGTGATTTTGTTCATCAGATCTGTAGAATATTCTTCACAGTGGTCCTTAAGATATTTTTCTTCCTCTAAAAGGGTCTAGGCAATATTGTATTGTCTCTATACAGAAGAGGAATGAATAAATTATGTACCATGTGGTACTTCTTAGTCTTGAATGGGTTGAAATCAGATCATGGTTTCATATTATCCAGTTATGAATGCCATCGGCCTGCCTAGGCTGCTTTCCAAGTTTCAAGTTCAGACATTCACAATTCATATCCCCAAGAAGGAGAGCAGCCCCTTATTTGTGTCCTAGAGCTAGTAAGAATCTGGAAAGTTGGCATCAGCAGATAAACAGACCAATAACTGCATTTAAATATCCAGTCATTTAATTTACTTAACATACTTAATGATTCTCAAATGAGTCCTGAGATTTACCTGGAATTTTGACTAAATCCCTATAGTGTATCTACTGTAAGCATAAACCAAAATGTTATTATATCTATATTATATCAAAAGATTGCTAAAAGTTAAAAGATTTTAACTTTTTTAATTGGCTCGCAAGAATATTAAAGAATATATCTATAAATGGTACATTTACAGATACAAACATATCCAGGACAAACTACAGGAATGCATGGGTTTCCCTTTGTACACTGGAGTTAGTCTTGTGTGTCCATCCCCTTGGTTGGTTTAATGTACTCTCAACAGTCTGCTTTGAGTGTCTATAAATCCTGTTCTGTTTTGCTGCCAGATGGTGATGTCCTAATTTAGAATATGCCTTCTTAGAATATGATAAGTAAAGCTACTAGTTAAACCCGTAAGCGTTGCTATCTTCCCACTTTCTTAACAGTCCCAGCAATAGGAAACCATCTATCAATCCTGATATTACCATGCATTATAATAGTTTTCCCACCTCGCTTTTTTAAGGTTCACAAAAAGCAAGATAGAAATAAAATTGACTCATTTGAGCTCTGGTGCTGGAGAAGGCTGGTGCTGTATATTCCTTGGATAGCAAAGATGACTAACAAGCAAGTACCGGAGCACATAACATCAGACGTGTCACTAGAAGACAAAATCACAAAACTTGGCCATGTCATGCAGGGGAATTCACTGGAGAAAGCAATTATGTTTGGAAGAGTTAGCAGTAAAAGGGAACCAGGCCGTGACGGTGGCTGTACACCATCGAAGCGGACACCAGCCAGAGTACAGAAAAAGTCAAAGTAGTACTGCAAGATCAGAAGATGTGGAAAGTCCTGGCCCATAGAATCAGCAACAGTCAGATTCAACTGAATAATAGATAACATCATCGTGAATGGTTTTAACAAGTGGTTGAGCCCACAGTATAGCCATTTTCAAAACCTCTACTTTCCTAGAAAGCTGATTCCCCATGTGGAGATGCTAAAGATGGTAAAGCCACACC